TTTGAGTTTGCTCCGTGTTAGAGAAATCTACAACTGGTATTGTAAAATCTGCTTTATAGGTTTATAAAGAAGTTTCATGAAGCTTCAGTCATCTGTGTTTACTTTTCTGGCACTGAATTTACGTTGCAAATACTTGGAACACGATTCAACCGGTGTAACAACTGGTTTGGTGAGCACGCGCGCACCAAATGCGTGCTTCCTGCGCGCGCAGAGCATTTGCAACTCACCTTCTGGTGCAAGCCCTATGTGTAAAACAGCAATCCGCTTGCCGTGCAAATCAGCTGAGCTTGAGAAACAGGATATAAAGCACAGCCTAAAGCCCAAGCAGACGGGTGGGCCCAACAGCTGATCGTCGGAGCAAACCTTCACTCCCGGCTGATCCTCGGAGCTACTGGTTCGCCTGAACCAGGCCAAACTGGTAGAATCCCACCCTGCTTTTAATGGACAACACAGGTAAAAAATGACCAGAACTTTGATGCCACTGTTATGGCTGCCATTTTGATTTTTTTTGACCTACTCCGCACATCCTTCCTCTGGCAGATGGGATGCCAACTGCTTCAAACTCCAGGTAGCCTTTGTGATTGTGTTGTGCAAGGCCTACGCTTGGACTACAGGGTCCAGTTTTGGTCACCATAATACAAAAAAGACTCTGGGAAGAACACAGAGAAGAGCAACAACGGTGATTAGGGGGCTGCTGGAGGCTGAAACATACAAAGAACGATGGCAGGATTTGGGTTTGGCTAGTCTAGAGAAAAGAAGGACCCGGGGGGACATGATAGCAGCCTTCCAGTATTTGAGGGGCTGCCCCCCAAAAGAGGGAGTCCATTTATTTTCCAAAGCACCTGAACGCAGGACAAGAAACAACGGGTGGAAACTAATCAAGGAGAGAAGCAACCTGGAATCAAGGGGGGAAAAAATCCTAAGAGTGAGGACAATTTAACAGATTTAATAGAGTTGGAAGGGACCTTGTTGGTCATCTAGCCAACCCCCCCTCCGGGCCACCCATGCAGGAGACCTTACACCGTTTCTGACAAATAACAACCCATTTAACTAGTGGAATAGCTCACCCCCAGAAGTTGTGGGTGCTCCATCAGTGGAGGTTTTTAAAGAAAAGATTGGACATTGTCTGAAATAGCAGGGGGTTGGACTAGATGGCCCCCAACCTTTTTTGTGCCACGGCCCGGTACCGGCATCACAAAATGATCCGCGGCCCGGTACCGGCATCAGCACGCATGACAAGGCAAGGCGAGCTGAGCGACTGGCCAGCCAGCTGTCACCCGCTTCTCCCCGCCACCTTCAACTCCTTTGTATCTTTGTCGATGGGCTTCGCTTTGGGACGGTCGCTCGGCTCTCCTTGCCTTGGGTGCTGAAAGAATCCTCGCGCCTTAGTTTCGTTCGAAGCCGCCCCCCTTTAAAGAAACTAAGGCGCGAGGATTCCTTCAGGACCCAAACGCCGCTTTCCAACCGGAAAAACTCACCTGGAAGCACTTTCTCGTCAAACAAGATGGCGGCGCCCAGGAAACCGGCGGCCCAGTAGGAAATGTTCCACAGACCGGTACCGGTCTGTGGCCAGGTGATTGGGGACCCCTGGACCAGAAGTCCTCCAAGGCCCCTTCCAGTCATAGGACTCTGTGCTTCTTATCTGATCTGCTTGTCCTGGTCTACCGTAGTTCTTTTCCCTTTCTCTCCCAAGGTAAAGCAGACGAGCTGACTGCAGGAGCCCCTGTGCACCCCAGACTGAAGATTGCGGAGGTGGCTTGGCTTTGACCCTGTCAGAGTATTTACAGCCTCCCTAACATTATAAGATGTGATGTCTCCATGTTTACTCCTGCTTCCAATGTGATCTCCTCCTCCCATTATGCTGACGGAGGCCATGTTGCCTGTTTTCTTTCACAGGCCACTGACCACGATTAAATCACGTCGCCCAACCCCCTCTGGCTCTGGTGCAAGCTCTCACTGGGTTTCTCTTCTCTCTCCAGTCACTCTGGCCTTCTCTTTGCACTGGGCCCACAACCTGTCAGAGCGTTTACAAGCGGGACTCGTATTGTGAGACAACTCAGGAGCAAAACACAGGACAACAGAGGCTTTGTCATTTAAGCGTGGTTTATATGCAAGACTACTATATACATACGTGTGTTGGGCCAGGGATGGTGAACCTTTTTGTTGTGGGGTGCTGAAAGCGCGCGCGCTGTTGAGGTAATTCCCCGTTAGGAGAATGAGCGCATACAGGGAGATATATCTGAGAGGTGTTTGAATAATACACACAGAGCACACAGATACGCTGTACAGTAAATGTAGGTTTTTACGTCCAGAAAGGTTTAAGCAAAGTCCAAAATAAGCAATCCAAAAGTTATTCACAGGTAAAATCAGTCAGTTTTCATCCAGGGACAATCCAAATATCAAATTCCAGTGAGAAAAACAGTTCAGTAAAACTTACATTAAATCCAGTAATCAGTCCATTAGAAGAAATGGAGCAACCGCAATACTTTCCAACAGAAGGAAACAGAGATACACTCACACTCTCTTCTGAGACTCAGACTAAAACAAACCAGGTTTCTGGCTCCATCTTATGGCCGTTTGAGAAACCACACCTAATTCCGGTTTTGCATTTTCTTAAAGTTACAGTTTTAAAATGTTTACCCTGGTTGATATATTTCTAACCCAAATAGCTGTTAGGTGACTCATATTCCTAACACGCATGACGGCACCCACAATACAGTGTGCCCTGCCCCCCTGTGCATTCATGTGCAACATCCCCACCCCGTCCCCTTACCTGCACTCTGCATGGGCCCACCTCCCAGCTGATTTTCGGCCTGTTTGAGGCCATTTTTGCCCTCTCGGAGGCTCGAAAGAACCCTTTGCAGCCTCGGGAGGCCGAAAACGGGCCTGTTTCAGCACGTCCGGTATTTCCGGAAGGCCCTTTTTTTTTTTTTTTGGCCTCCTGAGGTTGCAGAGACTTCCCTTGAGCCTCCAGGAGGGCGAAAACGGCCTCAAACGGGCTGAAAATCAGCTAGGAGGCATGTGCGTGTGCAGTGCAGGTAGGTTTGGCTGGGGCTCGCGTGCCCACACAAATGGCTGTGTGTGCCACCTGCGGCACGCATGCCATTGGTTTGCCATCATGGTGTTAGGCAAATGCCAGGCAAGCAATCCATCTTCATTCCTCTTCACAAAGAACCACAATGGAGATAAAACACGAGGAGAGACAGAGATGCCCTCACATGGCCTCCCTTATATAGAAAGCTTCTTAAAGCGGCAGCACCCTCCTGACTCATCTTGGCTTACAGTCTTACAGCAGCTGGTCAGCTATTCAATCTTCATTACCTTAACAGTCCCTTCTGGTCAACGGAAGGGCCAGCTCCGTCGTCCCGCCCAAGGACTTTGCCCAACCAAAGGGGCGCAGCTGGGCAGGGGTCTTCCTTAGTGCTAGGATCCACTTCCCACTCCAGTTGCACTACAGATAGAGTCCTCAGCTTATAACCATCCGCTTACTAACTGTTGGAAGTTACAAGAGCAATAAACATAGTTCATGACGACTGGTCCTCGCACTTACGACTCCCGCAGCATCCCTCCATTACATGATCCAAAATTGTACACTTGGCCGCTGGTGGCTTGGGTGTATGATGGTTGCAGAGTCTCGGAGTTGTGTGATCGCCCTTTGCGGCCTGCCCAGGGTTGGATCCATTGATTTGCTAAACAACCACACAATCCCCTTAACAACTGCAGGGATTCGCTTAACGGCCGTGGGGAAAATGGTCCTAAAATGAGGCACCTCACTTCACTGGCTGGCTTAGCCATGGAAATACCAGGCGCCATCTTGGTTGTACGTCGGGGACTAAAGTAGCAGACCTGGAGGGTTTTGGTGGCTTCCACCATTTCATCAGAAGTCGCACGCAATGCCCTTAACCCGAAAGCACCAAAGGCTGCATGTGGAGGACAAGCCTCGGTTAATGACGGAAGAGCAGGACGGACGCTTTGTGTGTGGTATGGATCCAACTCACGGGAAGGTCACTGCATTACGGACAAAAACTGGGACTTCTGTGCCTCCCCTTGGATGTCTCTGGTGGGAGGAGGGGAAAAAGAGTTCTCCGCCTCCTTCTTCCTCCTCTTCTCTTTTCCTTCCCCCTCCTCCTCCTCCTCCTCTTGTCTTTTCCTCTTGTTCCTCCTCCTTCTTCCTCCCTCTTCCTCCCCCTCCTCTTCCTCCTCTGCCTCTTCCTTCTCCTCCTTCCTTTTCCTGCTCCTCCTCTCCTCCTCCTCCCCCTCTTTTTCCTCCTCCTCCTCCTCTCTCATTCCCCTCCTCCTCCTCTTCTCTTTTCCTCTTGTTCCTCCTCCTCCTCCCTCCCTCTTCCCCCTCCTCTTCCTCTTCCCCCTCCTTCCTTTTCCTCCTCCCCCTCTTTCTCCTCCTCCTCCTCCTCTTTCTTCTTTCTCCTCCTTCCTTTTTCTCCTCCTCCTCTTCTCTTTTCCTCCTCTTCCTCCGCCTTCTCCCTCCCTCTTCCCCCTCCTCTTCCTCCCCCTCCTTCCTCCTCC